TGGCCAGCAGAGAAAATCAGTAATGATTTTACTTACAATGTAGCAACTGAGATGTAACTTGAAAGATATCCATAATAAGAAAAGTAGGAGGCAAAATGTGAAATGAAGATTTCTTTTAATATATTTTTTACTGAATTTTTGTGGATTTCATACAATACATCATAATCATACTTAGCACCCCCTTCCATATCCCCACCCTCCATAGCCCACCCACAGGACTTCATGCATTTTTGTCATATATGTTAAGGCCTATCGAGTCAAGTTTGTGTATCCAGATGTCCCTTGGTGTGGGTTCATCCACTGGAACTTTTCAGCCTGTCTAGCATCATTCCCTTAAGGTTCAACTCTCCGTTTCCCAGCAGTGAGCAGTTGCCAATAGTTCCTTGACAAAGTTGTGGCCTCTAGCCCCTTACCCCAGTCCTTGTGTTACCCTGGTTTTTGTCTGAGTTTTCCTGAGTCTTGTGCATGCTGTCACCATTGCTGTAAATTCATATGAGCAAGGTCCCAGGAGTCTGTAAGACTCTGTTTCCTTATGGTCATACACCTCTTCCTCTGGCTCTTAAGCAGAGTTCCTGAGTTGTGATTGCGTTGCATAGAACAAGGAGTCATTAAGGCAGCTCTTCGATAGTTAAGTAAATCCAAGTATAAATCCTGTGTGGCCTTACACACTAGGGCTGCAAGTTTGTTCCTAACTTCATCAGCAATGGGGATTGAGTGAAAGGTCATAAAGCAAAAGGCAGATGTAACTAAACCTCAGCTTTCTCTACTAGGGCTCGGCACCTTGAGGATTGAGAGGTTTCATTCTAGTATGTTCTCAGTGTGTGTGTTAACATGACACTGTCCTGAAGATGTGGTTCTGATAAAGAACATATTTTATATCTATGATGTGTAGTACAGTAGCCAATAGACACAAGTAGCTTTTGAGTAATTTAAATTGAGAAACTGAGGGGATCACAGTTTTTAACGTTTTCTATTCTGAGTTTACATTTAAATTCCAAAGGTCATGTGGGATAAGTGGGTATTACCTATTGGCTAATGCAGTATTAGACAGTTCTCTGAAGCAGGGTTCCTATAGGGAACAGGAACAATCAGCTTAGGGTAAATCAAGCCCTGTTCACTCATGAAGAGACTTGAATCCAAATATGTGGACCATGCTGCAGGACCCATGAGAGCACACAATTAACTGTGATTAGTTACATAGGAGCGTTGATAAGTCAGAATTGATGGAAAGGCTCATAGTCAAAACCATATAGGTATAGGTGTGTATCTCATTGAGACCATGTTTATAATGTGCAAAATAATCTTAATGAAATTCCATTGAAGCCATGCTCAAAACTGTTCTTTTCAATAGTCTTTCCTTCTGGGCAGCCTGTTTACTGATAAGGATGTCATTGCTTTCTCTACATAGTGCTGATCTGTACCATGATGTTTCAATATATTTCTCTGTGATATTCCCTGAAAATCATCTCTTTGCCATTAGCAGGGCTGTATTGACTTAATGATGACTCTAGGCAAGGATTCTTTTAAGGAACATCCTCTCTTTTGAGCTCTTGGGTGACAGGCAGTTCTGACTGTTATCTGTGGCTGGGTTTTAATATCCTGCCCTTTACAACCGTCATATCAAAACACAGAACTTTCCTTTAATCTGAACTTGTTGCTTGATGATTTATTAAGGCTTTGAAAACAGAAGGAATGAGGTGCCTTTAAACAGGACGGGCCCGTTTCTCCTTGCTTTATTTATTTTTCTGCCATGCAAATGAAATAAAGAGGTATAAAGTGGCTTAACTGAAGCTAAATAAATCTGGATAAATAGAGCGAGAATCAGTAAAAAGCTGGAGGTGAAAAAGAAGACTGGCAACAGGGTCGGGGAGAAAAGGAAGAAGAGAATTTAATAATTCCTGTAATGTTGGGGTCTATTTATTATTACCTAGGGAGCAAAGTGGCTTTGACCCAGTGAAGCACTTTAAACTAAGGTTAAGCTCTGGATAGAAATTAGGAAATCATCTTTTAGTCCTTATTGAATCTCCTCGTGCTGTCATCTCCTGTCATCTTTTATTAAAGTTTTGTGTGTGTCTGCTGGTAGGTCTAGGAAGGCTAACATCTTTCAGTTGTTCTGATGGATCACAGCACAAAAGCTGGTGAGATTTTTACAGTCAACACAACAGGAGTCTCCAATATTATTCCTGATGCCTGGGCAAGGTTAGGAGGGTGTGAGGGATCTTTGCGTGCAACTCCTGCCCCTTTTGGGTGATCTCTGCTTTCATGAAATGGAAAAAGATATAAGCATATAAGAGCGAATAATGCAGAAAGCCAGAGAACAAAGGCTTGTCTCTTTAGGTAAAATTAGAAGCTGTCTCTAAGACCATTGTAGATCTGCAAATGCCATTGCCTTATGCAGTCCTGAATTAGTGCTTCACAGTCCTCTACTGCAAATATGCAGAGTGCCTAGTAAGAGCTGCAAAAGTAACTGCAAGATTCATTTGAGTATGTTGCCAGGTGTTGCTCTGGTATCCAGAACATCGATTTTTTTCTTCTCAGTGACAGAAATGACCCAACACCCACATCTCTCTCTGTGCTTCCCTCCTCCTTCCATCCTTTACTATGTATGGTTTTCATCATATGCACATTCTATACTTTCAAAACTAATTTTTTTCTGTGCATGTGTTTTGGAAGAGGGGAGAGGGAATTGTGGGCATGTGTATGTTGTGATGTCAGTGGATTTCAGGTGTCATTCCCTGGGCACTGTCCATGTGCATCTTAGGCTAGGCTGACTGGCTGGGAAGCCCAAAGGGGCCACTTGGCTCCACCTCCACAGTGCTGGGATTTCAAGTGAACCCCACAATGCCTGGCTTCTTCACATGGGTTTTGAGAAAAAACCTTGAGATTGGTATGCATACAAAGCAAACATTGTACCCACTGGGCCATCTCTCCAACTACTCAAAACTAATATCTTAAAAAGACTGAATTGTTGACTCTGTCTCCTCATAGGTAATGGGTTGAAATATATGGTGCCAATTTCTGGTTTCATAGTATATGAGACGCGGCACTGGAATTTAGTAGAGCTTAGTAGACATGAGTCATTGATACAAAACATACAACAACGTGTAGCGTGCTCTCAACAAATGGCCGTTTTTTTCACTCCTTTAATATTAGTGACTCTGATGCTGACAAAAATCTATCCATAATTGAGGTTTAGTGGGTACTGGCAACCTCAGCCTAATAGAGTTCTTTAGGTGTGCCTTGGGAATAAATGGTAAAGTTTTCCCAAGTTTAGCATTATACCTTTCTGGCTTGTTATAGGCTCTTAAGTAAACTACATGGCACTTTTAATGAGGTTGTTAATTTATATACTCAAATATGTAAAATAACTCTTCTGCAAGTAATTATGAGAAACAGGAAAGTAATTAAGGTACAGTTGTCAGTATGAAGATTCTGGCAGTACCGTGAGGTGGTAAGCAGGCATGGGGATTGGGTGAGCATGTTGGGAGCTGCTGCTGGAATAAGGGTGGATCAGAGTTTGTTTATGAGCTGGGAGAGATTATTTGTGGAAGCCAATGAGGGAGAGTAAGGATTCTAATAGGTATATTATATGGAAGACCTGGAAGAAAGAGATAGGACCATGTAGGAATGCCCCCAATGTAAAATATAATGGTTGGGGAGATGCAGGAGATAAAGCCAAACAGATAAGACAGTGTTGTGGACAGTCTTGAAGTTTTTGTTAAAGAACTTTTCCATTTGCAGGTGTGGACTTTGTGTGTTTGTGTGTGTGTGTGTGTGTGTGTGTGTCTGTGGTGTGTCTGTGTGTCTATATATGTATCTATGTGTGCCTGTATGTGTGTATCTGTGTGTGTTTCTGTGTATCGTGTGTGTGTGTGTGTCTGTGGTGTGTCTGTGTGTCTATGTATGTATCTATGTGTGCCTGTATGTGTGTATCTGTGTGTGTTTCTGTGTATATGTGTGTGTGTCTGTGTATGTGTATGTGTGTGTATGTGTATGTGTGTGTGTGTGTGTGTGTGTGTGTGTGTGTGTCTGTGTGTGTCTGGCTGGGAGACTGATGTGCGCCTAATCTGTACCTCACATCAGTGTGCCCTCTCATTGAGTCCACACTGTAAACTCAGTTACCAGCTGCTTACACTTACCATCCTGCTTTTCATGGTCTCCTCTCCAGAGCCCTTTTCAGTTTATTAATTTAAAAACAGCAGCAGTTTTCCTAGAGGTGAATCGCAATGATTTTTTTCCAGTCTGTTTTATATGAGGTATCTCTGAAAAAGTATGATTAGGTTGAATCCAGTTTTCTCCCACAAAAATAATATGCAGAAAATACAAACCAAGGTCATTCTCTAGGTGCTGCAGAGCGTAGAGGCTTAGGTGAAGGGTCTAACAGACAGAGCTAGTCTGCTTAAAGAATGAAAAGGTGTTTCAACAAACCATCTTAAAATACCCAAAACAGCATCCAATTCTTACTTAAAACAATTTGTTCTTGGAATATTGTCAGCTAAAATTGTGGTCAACTTTTTCAAATTGTATGAATTTGCACTGCATATTTTATTTAGTGTTTAGCAAAACTCCAATATGGCTCTGCATAACTTACACAATACACCAAGAAAATGATTTCAGAAACTCCCACAGAAGTTGACAAATTGGGCATCTAATGCTTTTAAGCTAATTGCATGCTTAGAGGTTAAAGAGTTGACTTGTTAAGAATGAACATCAAAGTTCCATGGACTCAGTGCTCTGCCTACTGCCACACTGAATACAACCAAACCCTGTACCAGAAATATTACATCTGCTTAAAGATGAAAATAATGCAAGCTTTAATTGCCATTCTACTTATTCTTCAGTGAAGTCTCATGAATCATATACAACATCATAGCGGATTTGAAAATTATTCTTGAATTTCCAAGCTGTTATTTTCAGGAAATTTAGAAAGCAAATTGCTAAGTGATGAAGAGTAATTTGGTACCATTGCTTATATCATGTTTTTTTTTTCTCCTTTGCAGACTGGAAAAAAGGAAAGGAGTAATGCCCTGAATATTGCTATCGACAACATGTGCAAGAAAACTAGAGACCTTCGTAGACAGGTGAGACACGAGAAATGCACTGAGACAGACATGCACATGCAAAGTGAAGCTCTCAGTCAGTGCTCAAATATCTATTTCTTATTTCTGTTCTTTTAAAATTAACTTAGAACAGGAAACATGAACAGCGAGCATATACTTTGCACATTTATAGACCTCAACTGTTTTGTGGAAAACAGAAGACAGCAGAGCATGTGCCTTAACATCCTGCAGAAGTGCAATTGAATCTGAGCTGTGACCTTATCAGCTGTGAGTTCTCGGCCATAGATTTCATCTCTCAGAGCTTCTCTGAATCTATGAAATGCAATTAATAACACAAAACAGGACTTGGATAAATAAAAGCATATTGCTGAGGTAGGTAGATGGCTCAGTTGGTAAGATACTTGCCTTGAAAACAAGAGGACCTGAGTTCAATCCCCAGAACCCATTTGGTGAAAGGCTAGGTATGGTGGTGAAGGCTAGTAATCCCAGTGCTGCGGAGATGGGGGCAGATGGGTAGGTTCCTGGGACTCTCTTCAACCAGCCTAGCCTATTTGGCAAGCTTCTGGCCAGTGGAAGACCCTGTCAGAAAGGAAAGGCAAGTGAGATCTAAGGAATGTCACTTGTGAAGTTGTTCTCTGGCTTCATATGCAGCACACACACACACACACACACACACACACACACACACACTAAAATAAATGCATAAAATTTCCTGACACACTGTTAGCTTTTAGGGAATGCTGATAAGTTGATTGTAAAACAGTAAAAACTGAATTTCTCATCCTAATACTTAGAGAAATCATCTGGTAATTCAAAGATTACAGTTCTTCCTCTTGGTGAATTGTGGGTGCTTCAAAGATTAGCTTTTCTTTAAGACAACTTTTATGTTGGGTAAGTAGGAACACAAGATTAGAAAGGATTTTACTAAACAGTTGAGGAGACCAATGCTAGGCCACAAGTTAATTTTTTCCTGCAGAACTATGTAGACTTAGCCAATTTCAAAGGCCTCTGCTTCCCACTCCTTTCCAGTGTTTAACAACCAGGCATTTTCTCATAGGCAGCCATAACATGGTCACTGCTAACTCATAAAAATGCTGCAAAAAGCTTTTTAACCAGAAGCCTTTAATGCAATAGATTATTGTAGTTTAATGGGAAGATTTAGTGAAATGGCTGGACTATATTTTAATTCAGAAGCGGATTTAGATATAGGATAAATAAGAATTCTCAGAGAGTTAATGCTGACCGGATAGCACCACAATTTTAAATTCTGTGAAAATACTTCTCAACTTTATGGCCTTAATGTGAATACTATTCCTGCTGTCAGCACATAGAGTCAAAGGAACGTAAGAGTCCAAAGAACTTCTTACCACAGCCTGGCTTAGAAGCATATGAGAACGTCAGTGAGGATAGTGAGGATTTGCCCTGTGGAGGAAGGTGTGTGGAGTCAGGACCTGGACCACAATTTGGAAACACTAACCCTTGGAGCTGTCCACCTTCTTCACTCTCTTTCTGTCTCTGTCCTCGGTACTCTCTCCCATCCCTACAGTTTCACTATCTCAAGCTGGCCTCCAACTTCTCATCTTCCTGAGTCTCTCTCCTGAGTGCTCAAGTGCTAGGATGATAGGCACACGTTACGCCCAGTTTCATGTGGTGCTAGGTATAAACCCAGGGCTTCATGCATGATAGGCAAGCAAGCTCACCAGCTGAGCTGCATCCTCAGCCCTTCTTCAGGTCCCCTCTCCCCACTTCTGCCCCTCCCAGGATTCAGAGGAGCTGTTTCTATGCACTATCAACCATATTATTTCTTGTTCCTGTATCTTCCATCTATATTGATGAAGCTAGGCATGTTGTCAGTGAAGCTGGGCTTATAGAGATAATCAATGCCCACACTTTCCAAGTCTTTGGAGTTATTAATTTCCTAAAAGAGTTTAATAAAAAGCAATTTCTTACATGTTGAATTACTAGATTTAACAAATAAAAGCACAATATGCCCGGTTGAATTTTAATTTTGGATTAACAGAAAATGTGTCAATATAATTATGTTCCAAATGTGGCATGGGGTATACTCATATTTTTAAAAGAGTTCATTTCAAATTCAAATATAACCAGGTGCCCAGCACTTTACTCTGAACTCACACCTGTCTTGCCACCTTAAGCAGCACTGTTGATGACTAAGTTTCCTCATAGTCACTTTGGTCTGCAGAGAACTGCTGAGGCTTTCACAGTTCATCACCCCATTTCAGGGTGTTTCAGAAAGGTTTTGTGAAATGCTTAGAAATTTCATAGAATATATTTTGATCATATTTAGACCCCAGCCCTCCAGCTACACCCCTCTTATAGCCCACCCCTCTCCCCCAGATTTCAAGTGCTCTGTCATATATATTAAGGCCGACCGAGGTTGGGACTTTTTACCCACTTCCCACTTCTGTGCTGGCATCTTGTCTGAACTTTCATGGATCTTGTGTGTATTGTTGCCATTGTTTCAATGGTTCCTCTGAGCAGATTCCCAGCCGTCTGGAAAACTCTTTTCTTTTGGCCTTCTACCACCTCTGGCTCTTGCAGTCTTTCTGTTCCCACTTCTGCAATGGTCCCTGAGCCTTGTGTAGCAGACGTTTGACATAGATGTCCTATTCAGGGGTAATCACTCTGATATCTCTTACTCCCTTTTATGCTGAGTCTGGGCATTTGGGACATCAGTGTCTCTATGTGTTTGACCAGCTGTAGAACTTTCTAATAGTCTACATCATCTGTTACTAAAAGAAGCTTCTTTGATGAGTGGTTAGAGGTACACTGGTCTATAGATATAAGGATCCGAATTTAGAATACAGGATGAAATTACTTTGGACTAGGGATGTGACAAATTAAGGTTTTTCTCTAGGTTCTATGACCTCTCATGCCATGTGTATTTGGCTGTGCTTTCAGGACCACACATGAGTTCCCTCCCATTGAGACAGTCCCAAGTCCAATTATAGGGATGCTGATTATTCCTGAGATAAAAGTGCCACTACTGCACTAGTAGAGATTATTTGCTGGTCTTTGTTGTGATTCATAGACTTTACATCTGGATGGGATCATTGATTGTTTTTCTCCCTTAGCAACTTGCATAGTATCTTCTGATACTATGGGAGCTAGTCTTCAGGGAGGAGATTTCCAGGTCAATTTCAGCTAGATTGTTCCAAGTCCTGTGTGTGAAGTATGTCCTGTCCTCAGCAATACTGTCTTGCATTCAAGTTCTGGGAGATAATAGCCTGTGTTATTTTGGGAGTCTCTTGCACTAGCCCGACCAACAACTTGAAGTGAGGTTTCCACTCTCTGTCACTCTGTGTTTTGTTATATAAACCCTTCACGTTGATACACATAGGTATATAATATGTATTTTTTCAATAGGCTTTTGAAATAATACATTTCCCTCTGTTTCAATTTTTATTTTATAAACCACAATAGCTGTCACCGTGATTCCAAGGCTTTACTGGGGGCCACCAGGGGTCTTTTTTGTGGTATTTCTTCTGTGATAGTGGCAAACAATTAATGACCATTCCTACGCTGAGGCCAGACACTTGGGACATCAGTGCCTGTTCCTCTTCTTTCTCTCCATCCTGTGTCCGTTCTTCCCAGTCACCTCATTGTAGCTTCTCTCTCCAGCAGGGTAGTTTTGATTCACTGAGCACGTGATGCTTCAAGGTGCTAAGGAAGGAGAAAGGGGAGCCACCAGGCTTTAATCATGCCGGATCCAAAGTCGCAGAGTCTGATACACAACACATGTGCTACTTTCACAGTTGTGATTTCTACTGCTTGTATTTCCTTTTCCTCTAATAAAGGATTTTCTTCCTACTGATTTCTTCTACATTATATAGTAAACAGTCACAAAATCCACCATAAGTCAACAGGAGCAAGTACAAGCTCTGTCCTCTGTAGGAGAAGTAGCATGTGCGTGCATGAAGGCATGAATTAAGAGCAGTCTTTGGTGACACCCATGATCTTCAGTGATAGTTCACTTAACCTGCTGCAATTAACATTCTCACTACTCTCTCCCTATGCCCCAGACTACTTCATTTTCTATCTGGAAATGTATGCTTCTTGTGATAATAAAGGTTATTTATAGCTTAGTTGGTACACTGCTTGCCTGGTATGCTTGAAGCCCTAGGTTTGATCCCTGTCACCCCGTAAACTGGATGTACTGGCACACATCTGTAATATCATCACTCAGGAGATGGAGACAGGTGGACTAAGGTCATTCCTTTCTATAGAGGTAGTTTGAGGCCAGATTGGAATACATGAGACACTGTCTCAATAAAAAGTTAATTGAAACAGCAACTGTCTCTTTTTATTCTTTCAAAGTTTAGCATTTGGTTTTAAGCAGCTTTATATATGCCCTTTTTTACAAAAAGCAGAAAGCTCTGCTCTTAAAATATTTGTCTTTGGCCAGAGTGTGTGTGCCTTTTTCACAGCACTGGGGTAGCAGAGGCAGGCCAGTCTCTATGAGATTGAGCCCAGACTTATTTACATAGCAAGTTCCAGGTCTGGTGGGGCTAAGGGAGATCCTGTCTCAAAAAACAAAGAACAACAGACAAAAATATTTGTCTTTGAAATATATAATTCTCTCTCCTCTCTCTCTCCTCTCTCTCTCTCCTCTCTCTCTCTCTCTCTC